GAGCAAAGGATAATACACGTAATCGGCTCCAAGCGCAAGAAAACACACATAACAGAGTCACCAGTGGTTAGATTTTGGCATCTGTTTGGTGAAGAGGATGGTGCGATTTTTTACGACCAGTTACAGGACGTTGTAAAGTTGGGCCAATGCCATCTTGGAATGCTTTCGACACTTGATTAGATCGCTCTCAGTAAACGTTATCACAAATGATTACATTGTACCGCTATCTTTTAAATCCATTTGGCTTTATGTATTCTTATATACCAACAATTGCGTAATCTTTATTTGTGAATATATGGGACATTTTCCTTAACTTTTAATACATGTTAATAGCCCGTTTATCTTGGCATCATTCTTCGTCAACACCGTTGGTTTGTATTACTGTTTCTACAAGTCGTGGAAGGCAGATCCAGGGTATATCAGCACAACCACATCTGAACAACGACAGGTAGGAAAACATAGGTGTAACTTACTTAACTTCGAAAGCGATAGAGATAAAAAGACACAAAAGACTTGTAAGATTAGCGATACAGAGAAATGAGAGGAATGCTGCGTCTACTGAACCTTGAAGTTTATCCTTGTAACCGCAGAAGGCTTAGCAAGTGACTGCCCTTTGAGAGAATATAGCAAACCTCTTTTCTTTCGGTCTGAAGAATACTTCATGGAATGCATGCATTCTTGAAATTATTTTCAAAAAATGTTTTGAACATAAACACTCCGCGCCATTCCACCGTCGGTTACCTAGAATTTAAAGTTTAAATAGTCAGTCTTTTTCCACTCGAACACCATTGCGACGAAAACCACATCGTGATCGCAAGAGCAGAACGTAGTGATAATGGTATTGCTAAATGGATAGCAACCTTTATTCCGCTGCACCAAACAGCGGAAGAAGTTTTTAGCAGACAATTTCATCGAGCTACTCTAGCAATTGTGAGCCTTTTAAAATTGTTTTATATAATTAATTGTTGTCGTCTGTTTACCTCCTTAGACCATTATAGAACTCGTGGAAAAGAATTCGTTCGACTTTACAAAGTTTTGTTCGACTTGTCTTGTAAGTTGTAAGATGTCACAACGTTCGTTTCTTTTGGCAGAACTGTAGCCTGGATTGTAAGCTGTCTCCTCGTCTCAAGCCCCAGCTTGGGCGATTGGAACGAGGAGACAGCGGACATACGCAAAAAATACAGAAAATGTTAGAAGTTAGTGTTATTAACAATTGATATTGCACGACATGCTCAAAATTGCACATGCTAAAAACAATTCATATTTGAGAAGTGCCACTCGTTACTTAACGGACTATGTTGTTACTTTTACAGTTACGAAAACCTGTCCGATCAAAACATTGTTCCGTTTGTGAACGCTGTGTAGCCAAGTTTGATCATCACTGCCCCTGGGTAGAGAATTGTGTTGGTAGGTACATGTTTTAAAGAACTTGAGTTTAAAATATTAAAACTTGAGTTTAAAATATTAAAAAAATGAGAAAAATGTTAGTGCAACGAACAAAATCAAATAGGCAACTTCAGGTTGGTCTTAACAGTCTTGTTTTCTTTTTTTCGGTTTTAAACAGGTGTTGGTAACCATCTGTACTTTTTTGGATACCTGTGTTTCCTGTTTGGTATGATTCTCTGGTACATCTATGGAGGAACCGTTTGTAAGTATTTAATCACTTAGTTACATTAAAACCCTCAAGGATTGATTCCCTGTTCGCCTTTTTCCAACCTTCAGCGTTTAAAAATAGTGTGCCATCTTTTTTCAACTAGAAATTATTGTTGGTGTTGTGTTTTTTTTCAGATTATGTTACAGCTTGTGGTCCCTACCCTGATGGGATCTGGAAAACCATCGCTCACAGCACGCGTTGTGCCCCTTGGATCACGTGGGGTTATGCCAACGCCCTGTTCCACGTGATGTGGGTGGGCGCTTTGTTTTTCTGTCAATGTTACCAGGTATGACTGGCTCTTAATGTAAGCACGTTTCTTTTACGTTATTAACCCTCTACACCCTAACATCATCACGCATATTCTGCATACTGTTCTCTACACATTTCTTAAGGCGGAGACAGGGAGAATTTGTTTAACAATCAAGAGCTTCTTAAGCTGGGGATCATTTTCTTTATTTCCTTGACCTTAATATGTGATTCAAAGTGTGGGTCAAATGTGTGGATTAAAGCGTGAAGAGATTTTAGCTGAATAAATGAGATGGTAGGTTGTGAGATTTTAGTTGTCGGTGAAGGGTGAAAATTACAAAGTTATGGAATTGTTAAGGAGTCTGGACTCGGTACGATTCCAACCATTTCACCAGCGTACAGAGATCTCTTCCATTGTTGGACTTGAAATGCATCTGCGCATGTCATGGGATTGCTCGGAGAAAGTGAAGATACAACAACCTCGTTCCCAAGGTCCCTCTTAGACCTTGGGGAACATCATCATGGCTCGTCTGAAATTAAGAGGGTTAAAGATGGACTAATTGCAAATTAGTAAATTTAGATGTTTCAATTTGAAGTTAAAACTGAGCAATTTTGTTTCAAAGATCTTCTGGTTGGCAATGACGACCAATGAACGCTTGAACATGTCAAGGTATGCCCACTTTAGCGATGACAAAGGAATGCCTCAGAGCCCGTTCAGGTAAATTAATCGCAGTCTGTTATCTACTATTGCTTTGCTGGTGGGTCTATTAGTTTCAGAAATGAGTCGTTATTTACCCAAGAATTACGATCAGGTTAAGGAAGAGAAATTCTTGAAAAAGGCGACTTCAGCACTGATCTTTTTCAGCCATGAGTTAAAAGTTTGACCATTTCATTGGCTATCTGTGTATCTCAAGGCGTATCTCAAGTTTTCTTGTCTAGTGGAATAATGAATCCCTCTTTCGATGGTCATAGAAAATTCACGTGGACATCTTGTTCATTTCTCTCGTTGTCCTAGTGTATTTATATCAAACCATGGAATGATTTTTTTAAAGTATTTTAACATGATTTCTTTTCAAAACTGTACGTAACGATTTAAATTGTTTTTCAGTCGCGGTCCTCTCGGAAATATTGCAGACTTTACAAATACAAATCTTTGCGGTCTGGTGCGACCTCTCCGAGTAGACTGGTATCGACAGTTTAGTAGTGAAGTCAAAAGTACCCAGAAGACTGTGTGATACTTGTGTATTTAGAATGGATATTAAAAAAGTTTGCGATCGTCAGTTTTATCAAGATGATGACTTGTTTTACGTGACAATACCGAAAACGGCTGCGAAAATAATAATTTGGACCTAAAAACCGACACAGTCCTTCACGTGGTGTAATCGGTGGAGTGTATTCCTGGAAAAGACTGCTTGTGGTGACGGTTACTGTAGATTCGAGGTCCTGACTGAAAGTCATTATCAAACATTCTGTTGTCGAGAAAAAAAGAGTCTACGGGAAACTTTGCCAGCTGATATTTACGGTAATGCGACCAGTGTCCATAGCGACGAACTGAAAATTCAAAATTCGTGCTTTTTTCTGATCGTTTGGGTTGGATACAGATGACGTGTTTGACGATTGTTCGGGTTGCGGTAGTAAACGTCTTGCTGGGTAATATTAGCAAAGTAAGACTGAATGAACAATATTTTTGAGACTTAGGCTTTAAGCTTTAGATTTAATATGAAGTATTGGTCAATAAGAGAGCTTGTTTATGGGCCCCTTAGGTATTATAATTCAACAGTCGATAATCTTAACATGGGTGGCTCTGATGACTCAGGTAGTTGACGAGGTGAAGGAAAGTTTGTTCTGTTAGGCTGATCGGGTGGAATGTGCCGATCTTGCCTGCTCGAGATTGCCTCTTTGTTTACGCGTTCTTACTTTCTTCTTTATTTCTGGGCAATTTTTTATGAAGACTAAAAGGTTTCCCAGCAGTTCTTACAACAATTGACTCGCAAAACGCATTATCCGTAAGTCGCCAAAAATAACTGAGAAAACCTCGAAGAAAACTGATAAAACCTGAAATTTTGTTGCGTAATCATATGGTGATATGACATATTCTTTGTTGATCCAATTAGTTCACTAAAGACGGCTACATAATGGCCTTGTTGTCTTTTTATTTACAAAGTATCTGCATTTTATTCGGGGGAGAAGATGCCTTTCACGAGATTTTGGCCACCTTGTGCGCTCAGAATTAGTCATTAAGGCAGATTTAAAGTGACCTAGGTACGTTTGTTTGTATAATTCGCTGTAAAGAAAAACAAACAAGGAAGTATTATAAATGACTGAGCAAGTTTTAGTCAATCCTGTATTTGTTTATTTGTAACATCAGTGTCAGTTGTGAATAGGTTAGCGCAAAGAATTTAGCCAAGAAACAATGAATCAATGTAGTGAGATGTGTACAAGCATGGTCATGAAGCGCACTTGAAAATGAAATTATCTGTGGGCGGGGACACGGGAAATTATTCGAAATTCGTATAATTTTATTTGTGGTCATCAAAACCCAATATTTGCATAGCTGGTCGGAGGTTTTCTGTATAAGTACGTCCCTGCTTGTATACATGTCTTGTGAACTAGTTTTAATTTAAATTTTTTACAATTTGTAAGTTTAGTGAAAGGATTGATAGGTTTTGTTTGGATCTTTTTCTGAATTTGTGATATTCTCCTTCACATAAAAGACAGTTTCAGACATGTTAAAGATTTTGTAATCCGTTCCCAACGACCCTTCACCCCCCGCCTGCGTACTCCTCCCCCCCCCCCAAAAAAATAAATAATGAAGTTAATATTGGTTTAACCCAGGACCGAAAATTGATCGAGTAAAGTGATGGTCCGGGTGAGATGAGTCTGAATATTTTTTGTGGAATAAACTCAGTTTGTTTCGCTTCGACGTACTGTACTGAACTGATCATCAAAGTGAAATTAACGTTCTGCTAATGATTATTGTGTTCGAGTCGTTGAAAGAGAAGCGATATTGCCTTGTCATGGTCTTGTTGAAATTATTCCTGAGCGAACCTGAAATAAATGTTAAAGGAGTTATGTCATAGTTTGCCTGTGGGCCATCCTTGTTCCTGCACGGATTATTACACCTTCCGTTGCCTCCTTCGAGCCGCCCTGGGATGTAGTAAGACCGTAGTTTTGCACGATGGAAAACACGACCTAACAGTCCATATTTCGCGTCTTACATTTATAAAGAAATGAGGTACACCTCGTTTGATACTTTGTAATAAAGCAATTTAAGGGTAATTTAGTGATTTGCATTTCTCTTAACGTGTGTCTGCTTGGTAGTCAAGGCTTCGAAGGTGAGTTTTGTTAGTTTCTCGCCGGAGTCACGCGATCCCGTCACGCTAGATTAAAAACGCGCAGACTCGGTTCAATCAAAGAAGATCTTGGCGGGCTTTCTTTGTGTTCGTCAGAGTTTGAAAGATGGATTTCAATTCATCAAATGTTTTAGAAACAGCCAAATATTTTGTAGAAGACATTGAAGATCCTGTGAATGTGATTCCAGTGGTGCTGTTGTTGCTATGTTTCCTTTGGACTGGCTTTCCTCGAGGTAGACATACGACTCTTGCATGGTGGGCTCTGTTCAATGGCTGCATAATTCACTGTTGGATGGATGGGTAAGAGAACAACTTTATTTGAATAATTTGCTAGCTAAGTGTCTGAAAAAGAAAATAAGTCTATTGGACTTGCTGTTCACGAGTTTACAAGGAAGGAAATACGAGATAGCTATGGACCTTGACTTAACAACTGAATAAAGGGGGTAAGTTTCTATAGAAACTGTGGTGCTGCGTCGGTGGGAGAGTATAACAGGGTAATTTAGTATTATCAACTGAGTTGATAACGTAACTTGGCCACATAAAGAGTTTTCAAAGCTGACGTTTCGAGCGTAAGCCCTTCGTCAGAGCGAAATGAATGTTATGTTCGATCGTGATCTTATCCTTGCCGAAAGTTGTGCAAATTCGGTAACTTTAAATTATTTACTTAATAAATATAAAGCTTTACGAGATTTGAGCTTCAGAGAAGAACACCTGAGGATCATTATCTTGGCTCCGTTTTGCTCTGCCGTAAAACCTCAAACTGTGGGGAAATTTTACCCTACCCCTCCCCTCCCACAAAGAAATCAGGCTTCGACTGGAACTAAAGTAATCATTATAGCCAATCAGTGAGGAGTTCAAAGTGAAGATGAGCCTATGGGCACTCCTAGTAAGTGTGCAAACTCAAGGGCAGGAAATTGCTGACAATGAAGTTGCAACTAAGTTTTGCATCTGAGTGGTTAAAGGAGTTATGTGAAGTATTTTGTAAGCAATCTGAGACAACTTTCAAGACTGTAACTACTAGTTATTAAACTACCAGAGCTGATTGATGTTCATCTGCTCAGGGTCATTGGCACCACTGGTCGTGGACCCAAGTGGATGGTTGTCGAGTATGGAAAACTAGATGCCCGTTACTGGAAAACTAAGGATCCAACTGTGATGATGGTATCATATATAGAAATCACCATAATGGGGCCACTTTGTATTTTATGGTATGCAAAATTTAGTCAATGAATTTCATTTTCAAGTCTGCACAGTTTGGATTTGCATTGACAATAAAGTCAGGCAGCCATAATATCAGACTAACCACAAGGTTACATATTTGTGACCTTTTAACTCCTTTGAGTGACTAAGACAGAATTTCTCCTTACAATCTCCATACAAAATCAAGCAGAAAGTGATGAGAATAAAGACAAATATCAATCATGGAAATATTAGCTGATCCAATACCAAATTCTTGAACTTAAACCTCATAAGAATTGTATTGGAGACAGTGGGGAGAATCACTTATGAGATCTTGGGAGTGAAAGGGTTAACAGGCAACTAACCATTGATAAAATAATTCACTTACAATACCTTGTTAAAAATGTTCACTTTAATTCTGCAGGTATAGAGCCATTGTCAAAGACCTTTGGTGGCGCCATTTTATGTCAATCATCACATCAACCTTTCAGCTCATGGGTACTTTTATGTATGTTGGTACAGAAGTGTATGATGGTTTCAAGAATGTTCCACTGGTAAGATACATCATTCTATGTGAACAGTCTTCTGAGCGGTTAGGTTGGGGAATGTAGGAAATAAAGTGTGTTGTATATAACTAAACTAGGTGAAGAGAAGTGAACACTTTCACTACTTACCCTCAGATTATTCAAAGTTCTTTATTATCTAATTTTTCTATGCATTTCTCATCCATCCATGATAAAGAAAGTCACAACTTAGAGAGCGGCTAGTCCTTCTCTTGTGAGTTGCAAACCATTTGATATTTAATGCAAAAAAAGATGAGCATTTATTATTTGGAGGCTTGAATCATCTGTGAGTACTTAACCATTTGCAAACAGTTATCACTAAAAAGGCAACACATTCTTCTCAGTTACTGGTATTTACTTTAAGATCCTCTGCCCTGGTCCAGTCTAAGCAGCAAAACCTTTTCCCTCTGCCAAGGCACTGTGGGGCTCTCTAAATAAAAAGATTACACTGGTTTAAAAGGCTACCTTTTTCAGCTGGAGAGATCACTCTTTCAATCCAACTCCTTTCTGTACACTGAGCTTTCCATTCAAATTCAAAGTAAATCTTGCAGATCTGGTTCACTTGATATATAGTAAAGACTTCCAGCCATAAATGAAATCAATAGGTTACCTGTCCCTAAAGTTTATCCTTATCTTTTCAGGACTGGCCCCCTTCTTTTGACAGCTTTGAAAAGGTCTTCTACTTCTGGACAATCTTTGTTTTTGCCAATTCTATCTGGATTTTTGTTCCTTCCTTGATCATGTATCAGACATTAAGGGAAATGAATGATGTGTATAATTCTCCTCACTCAAGTTCTAAGAAACAGAATTAAAAGGGAAAAAACCGGGTGTGCTCTCTGGCTAGTCTCACAAGACTTTGTTATGCATGTATGCGTGTTTTTGAAATTTTTTATTAATGAGATCATCCAAATGTTTTTATGCTTTGCAAAGATATAAATTTTCTAAACAAAGATACATGTAAATGTAAGGATCTGGAAATAGTAAGCTTTTCAGGGTTTCCCTCTTCTTTTACAGGCTTTGACAAGCCACATGTCTTGATTTTGATAATCAGAATCTTTGGAAAAAATATTCAGTCTTACTTTACAATCAGTGCAGCAAATGACATGACTTTGTTTTTGGCATGACTGCATTTCAAAACAAACTCTTTGTTTCATTTGTTTTTCTACCTTGTGTTGCTTCATTTGTTAGAAATGTCATGGCAAAAAGTATCTTTTATAGTTCATAACCATAAATCTCTTGAATTCTTTTGATGTCTACTTTAACTTCACAAAAAATATGCAGTTGCCTTTTCAATTGATATTTATTCAATATGAAACATGTTTTAGCACTTGCTACAGGACCCAATACATAAATTTATACTTGCACTTTGTTTTTAGATTTCAATTAGTATCTCAGTAGTAAGTATCCTAGTTCTGAACTTTGAATTAGTCAACTTGTTTTATGAATTATTTTACAAAGTAAACAGTTGCAAAGTTGTGGACTCAACTTCCTGTAGCATAGGGTGAATAAGTATGTGTTGCTAGTCCATTGGAGATAAACTCCACCCCAGTCTCTCCACCAGTCCTTTGCTGATAACCTTCACCCCAGTCTCTCCACCAATCCAAAAAGATAACCTCCACCCCAGTCCCTCAGGCAGTTCATCAAGTTTTCTTGAAAGAACACCAGTGCCCATGTATACTCGTGGATGGAGAGAGGCATGGTGAGAGAAAAGTGTCCAGCCTAAGAAAGTGACAAAATGACCCTATAAACATTAACCCAACGTGCCTCCCTTGGTAAAAATGATTCTTTTTTAATTTTACTGAGAACAAAACTAAAAGAATGGAAATGTAATAAAAGCAGAAAGTTGGGGAGAGACTTTGTTTGAATGGGCTTAAGACACCCAAGGTCATTCAGGGCTCAAACCAAACTTCACAATCTTAAATTCAGGGCGTGAAATTGCGTCTAATACAGGCGCCAATGCGACTAAATTTTTCACTTTGGCGACCAAATCCTGAAAATTAGTCGCCAAATTGGCGACTAGAATGTTTCATCATAACGTTACCCAGAGAAATAGTGAATTAAAAAGCTTTGCAAAGATAAATCCGCGGCAAACTCCCCCGTTAAGTTTGTTTACAAGACGCAGCACATGCATCTCGATCGATAACTAAACGCCATCTTGGATTTAGGTGAGCTTGAACGTTCCATATCATGCATTCTAGTGTCCACTTTGTAGCACATTAAAGATCTTTTCCCTAACTTAATTTCTAGAAAGATGACTGCGTAAAAAAGGTTTGGATTGTCTTTAAAAATGGCGACCAACTTTTTTTTGAATTGGCTACCACTTTGAAGAATTTAGAAGCCAAGTGGCCAGCAGAGAAAAAAATTAATTTCACGCCCTGCTTAAGCATGATTTCCAACTGTTATGCCAGATGTTGACTGAGTCTCTTTTCCATACACAATGTTTGCACCATCTCATCGTAACACGAGTGGTATGAGATAATTAGAAACAGTTGTGCAAGCTCTCAAAATGCGTTTCGGGTTTGCTACATCCAAGAATTTTCCAACACAGTTAGTGGCAATTCTGGAAAATTTCAGCTAGCCGCGTGTTTCAGCCCCCTGAGAAAATTTCATCTCGAATTCTTTGAAAAAATAACGACATTTGTATAGTTTGAGTAAGTGAGTAGGTCTGGTTATTTACTAAACCTTTTTGCTCTTTGCATATAAAAACAGATCAGAATGTCTTCTCTTCCTTTATAAGTTTCGCTCACTTGAAACTTTCAACACATGTCATTTGAAGCATGTGCTGTTTTTGCAATGGAGACTGTTTTCGTCTGTGATTAAGTTTAAATTTCGGTCACAGTCTCAAAGGAGGGTCTACTTCCTCAAACAAAGCCTTATCAAATAAATTATAGGTTTTAAAGACCTTTAAGTCTTATTCTTGCTTTCCAAGTTGTCTAAGGGCCTTGCTTCCCCGTTAAATAAAATCCACAGTAACCTTTAACGCGGCTAAGTGTCAACTCGTTAATATTATTGTATTGCAGACGCAGTGTTCAGGGTAAGATGGCAAGATCTAAGACTGTCATAGAGCAGGGCAGACTATAAAATAAGTAGACAAATAAATCAACAAACAGAAAAAAGTTTAATATCAACAAAGCAAAATGCTGTAATTCCGCTTTGCCCTGATGGCGCAAACTTCCCGTAAAGGTGGTAGCCCCATTACTGTTTAGTTATTGCTTCATGAAACACATTGACCTCAATTTACGTAATTTATGTAATCAGTGTTCTTCATCTTGAACCAGGCTGTAACTACTTGGTTTATTCATTCACTGTAAGTTTTTTTTTCTTACTGATCAAATGAGATTCTGAAGTATACCTCACGTGAACGGAAGTTTTCTGAGAAGTGATGTCGTGGCTTGTCCATCTAAAAATCAAGTGTACAAAGAAATTTACCTCTATAAATCGTCCAGACTTAAGACTTAAGAAACATGGCCAAATTATCAACCTTTACTTACGAATCTAATTGGGTTAGGAAGCAACTAAGTACATTTTCGTGTAACTATGCGGGATGAAACAAGATTAGTGAGCGGCGAAAATTCTTACGCCCTTTTCTGTTTAGGAGGTTAGACTTCGGGGTTATTCCAACGTATCATGCTTCCAAAAACATGAAAGAAACAGTTAAATTGTCACCATAATGATGGTAATTTATTACCTTGATAGAATAGAGCCACAGTAATGCTGTACTGACTATGTCGTCGAGTTGATTTGGAAAGTCCGCCAAGAGGGATGGTAAGATTCCGTGATATGTCTTTGGGTGTTTTTGTTACTTCCGCGATTTCCGTTTGTGGGTGTTGCCGGTTGATAAAATTAAACTCTGGGTGGGGTCGAGCGGTCAGGAAAACAAACTAAAGCTATCGAATACATTTCCGAAGCGAGCGAAAAAAAACGAAGTTGAAAAAAACATTGAAGTTTGTTTTGTATATCATTCGCGACATTTCATGATAATTGACAAGTATTTTGTCTGGCTGAGAAGGACAGATAGTTGAGAAATTCTAGTTTGCCCTGAAGTTTCGCGATCACATCAGAAAAATTAAACGATATGTGCTCCCCGCTGATTGGCCAGAAACTGAGTAGATCGACTACTTAGGCTTGGCTAAATCTATAGCTGTAAGAGAATTATGGTGGCTAACATACACTGGCCAGAGTCTGGTTAAGAATAACACTCAACAAGAATTGAAATTCAATTTGTATTTTTTTTATATTTATCATGAACATATTGAAAGCGTTTGCTCTAAGGCCATGAAACCGCTTCTTAAGAGCTCCCTAAAAATTAAAAGTTGTGGCAAAAATTTCAAATGTTTTACCCATCTTCGTTGTGGAGAGTTGCATTTTCGTGAGCAACTAATAAGATTAATAAAAAAGAACTCGTGTAGACTTAATGAAATTTAAACAGGATACGTCTTGCCACAGAAGTTCGCTAACTGTACATACACGGACATATTTCTAAGCAAAATATTCAGGGGGGGGGCTGCAACAGCTCTTTATCAGCCATTGGGGGCATACTCGGCCCTTCATGACGTACCCCACTCCTAAGTCACGCCCTTGAATAAGTCTTCCTTATTTGAACCTTGTTATTTTGGTTGTAAATAATATCATAATATTCCGTGTTTTGATTACAAACAATGGCTTGGGTGCGCTTCTCTTATATCGGAAAAGGTTTAATTCCTGATACAGAAATGAGGTTTTAGGCAGGATTGGAGTGTGTTCCCATAACAGCATTTTACTC